TATTTATGTGTGTGGGGGGCAGCTCAGCCCACCAGGGGGCGGGGCTGGCTGGCATGTGGTGCTGGGGGATTGAACCTCGGTCCCTGTGCTTTGCTAAGCTTGTTCTAAGTAGGTGCTTTAGACCACTGAGCCATCTCACCAGCCCCACTCCTCTGATTCTTGATGCCTTTTATATGATATGTTGTCTTCTGTGGGTGCTTTTAATGTTTTATCTTTATCTTTTATTCTGAAATTTTACTTTTAGCTGTTCGGGAAAAGGGGAGGAGAAAGAAGATCACATGGTTTTGATAGTTTATTATGTATCAGATATCATGCAAAAAGCATTGTGCAAATAATTTCATTTAATTGAAAAATTCTTCTTAGATATATTTTGTCTTTTCCTTGCTTTATTTAGATAATGAAAGTGTCCCAGTAAACACAGGCTGTTTTGTCTAGCGGGATCAGAAGGATGTGGAAGTACAATGATTCTGTGGTGCTTGTTTTTTAAATCCTCTTCTTGTATTCATGTGCTCACTGTATTTCACTTCTTGTACTTTAATCTTTTTCTTCCTGGTACCACATGACAAAAAAAGGTTTAATTTTTAATCTTTCTTTTTTTTTCCTGCATAAAACTCTTATTAATTAAGTCATATGCATGATTGTTGTTTCAGGAGTCAGTGGTGTTCAGTGATGTATCCATAGACTTCTCTCAGGAAGAGTGGGAATGCCTGACGAATGATCAGAGAGATTTATACAGAGATGTGATGGTGGAGAATTACAGCAACCTGGTTTCAGTGGGTAAGGACATCTATCCATAAGAATTGAAATTCTGTCCTTAGAAGGTTTTTTTCCTCTGATGTGAAATGCTCATTTACCTTTCAAGTACCAGTTGGATCTCAACATCCTATGTCTGCAAAAATATTCTGAACATTGTAGAGTTAGAAAAAGGAAGCTACATTGAGTTATAGAAGACATTTCAAATCTTCTGTTAATGTTTATTAGTCTGTTGTACCTTTCTGAGACTAATACTGTATTACCTTTCTTTACAGTGAAGAGCTTGGATTTGAATTCTGAGACATTTTTATCATACATTTATCTCATTACTTTTTTTTGTAAGCAGGACTTTGCACTTCTAAACCAAGTATCATCTCCTACTTGGAGCAAGGAAAAGATCCCTGGTTGGTTGAGAGAGAGCTAACAAAAAGCCAGTGGCCAGGTAAGTGAGTACAACAGGGATGATCCAGTTGGTCAGTGCAAAGACTGCTTTCTTTACTGCTACCTGGAAATAATCCTTCAAAAGCTTTTGGCTTAGTGTTGGGGGTTATAGGTCAGTAGCACAATGCCTTCGTGGTAAGCACAAGATCCTGAGTTCAATTCCAGGTACAAAAAACCCCAAGAACAATAACAAAAGCTTTTGGCATAGTCTACAAGTAAACATAAGACCTTTTCTGATTAACTTACTTATTCCCCATACCTAACACACTTAGCCTCCTTTTCTTCTCTTATACCTCTTTCCGAATTTTAACTAGCTGGTGCCCTATTCAGTCCTCCTTAGTGATATTCCTTTCTATCTATATTTTTGATCCAGATTCTTCTCAACTTCTCATATTCTTGTATTTAGTCTCATGAAAAAATTAGTCTCTTAAAAAAAATTACTCTCTTGATGTTTTCTGCATTGTGAGGCACTTGGTTTTTTAAAATAGTTTTTTGTTTTACTTTGTATTGATTCAGGAGTTGTGACTTACTGATTTATTCGTACTTTTAATCAATATTGACTTGTTTAAATCAAAATTTAATCAGTTTTTCTTAACATGTGTGACATATTTGCCAGGTACTATAGATCTTAAAAAAATGAATAGTTTTTAGAATTTATAGTCTGCCAGGAGTGCTAGAACATGTCTGCCAAAATAAGTTCTTCATGTAGTTAATTATTGATACTAAGAGAAGTTAAATTAAGGAGGTTAGCAGAAAATAAGAATATAGGTGATGATTTGATATACATAGAAAAGACTTAGGAATGCATGTCACTGACTTTAGGTAGAGGGTTAGAAATAAAAGACCTATGTCTATGGAGAAGTTACAGATGATAAAGATAGAGAGATTTGTGACAAAGGAAGAGAACAGGACAACACATTAATCCAGTATAAATTTATTGATTTCCTATTGTATGTCCAACACTGTTCTCAGCACTGAAGTTATGGTAATAAACATACAAAATCTTTTTTTGAGGGTTTATCCCCCACTATAGGGAGAGTTACAAAAGCATGACTGTATATCAGGTCATAATAAGTGCTAAAAACAAAAATGAAGTAGAGAAAGGGATAGAGTATTCTTTTTTATTTGCAGTACCGGGGGTTGAACTCAGGACCCTGCACTTGCCAGGCAAGCGCTTATTCTACTGAGCTATCTCCCTTGCCCTAGAGTATTCTACTTTATGTGAAACAGTAAGAGAAACTTTCTGCCCAGGTAGCATTTTGGCAGAGACCTAAAGAAGACCAACAGTAAGTCATTATATGTGATTATGGGCTGAGGGCAAGAAGGGAACTACTGCCAAACATTCAAAGACCCTAAGGCAAGTGGTGCATAGGCTATTGACTGGAGCAGAGTGAGAACAGAGTTGATCAAAAGGCCAGAAGTAGGGGAAAATTGGTCAGTTAACCAATTGCCAACTGGGCAGGGGCTGGGGGCTTGATCCCTGGGCCTGCTGTGCAAGCCCTGCCCCCAAGGCGTGCTGAGAGGGCGATTGAGACTGGGCATGGTAGTGCGCACCTGTAATCCCAGCTTTTGGGAGGCTGTGAACAGGTGGGTCATTGTGAGTCTGATCTAGTAGTGAGACCCTGAACACCCTGTAGACCTTTCCCTAAAAGACAGACAGATAGATAGATAGATAGATAGATAGATAGATAGATAGATAGATATACTGCCAACCCAGGCCCTTGTCTTTTCTCTCTGATACAAGAAGTCACTAGAAACCTATGAGAGTAGGACTGCTGTGCTCCAACTTATGTTTTAAAAGGATCACTCTCCTTGATTTCTAGCAGGTAAAATTGGAAGCAGACCATTTATTAGGCTTTTTTGTAGTACTTTGGTTGAGATACAGTGATAGTTTAGAGACCATCACTTAAATATTAACCTCTAGCATTAAAAGGAAGAGGTAGAGCCTAACTTGTTGAAATAGATTCCCAGAAGGAAGATGTTTCCAAGCTGTTACATATTCATTCACAATATTTGAATATTCAGTAAAATCCATTGCATTATATACTTTGAGGAATGGTTTATTTTTATTTTATTTTTAATTTTTTTCTGTATTTAGGACAGGGTCTACAGGATCTCATTACGTAGATCAGACTTGTAGTGATTCTTCTGTTTTCAGCCTCCCAAGCGCTGGGATTATAGGTACATGCCACCATGCCCAGTCTCAATCGCTGTCTCAGTGTGCCCCATGGCATGCCGGGGATCAAACCCCGGCTGCTGGGCTCTGCAGGTGCTTTAAGTCTGCTGAGCTATTTGGCTGGCCCTATTTTTATTTTTAATAAATAATTTTTGCTTAAATCTTTGACAAGTGCTACAATTTTTATTTATTGGTAGTTTTGTGGTTTTTTTGGAAAGGTTTTTACTTTCTTTTTCTTTTTTGGCAAAACTGGGGATTGAACTCAGGCCCTTGAGCTTGCCAGGGAAGCGCTTATTCTACTGAGCCATCTGTTTTTATTTTCTTATCCAGCCTGGCCTTTTGTCACTATACAAACCCTGTTCCCTCAGCTTCCCCGGTATTAGAATTATAGCAATAAACCACCACACTCAGCTTAATATTTTTTTATTGTGAAAATTTTCAAACATAGATGCCATACTTGCTTCATCTGCCTAATGTTGTTGCTCAAGTGTTTTCAAACAGATCCAAGAACTCTTGTTGTGCTAGTACAATAATCATGCCTAATAAAATTTGCAATTATTTCTTAGTATTTTAGATTCTTTTAGTGGCATTATATTAAGTACTTATAATAGTGGGCATGTATGCTAACTTGTTTGTTCCTCTTATATACTTTATATTTACTACTACCTCTATTTCAATTTTTAAGAAATTTTATTGGTACATTTTAAATATATGTAATGATAACAGACAAAATAGGGAATTTGTACCTTTACATTATATATCTCCTTTTTTTCCCATTCTCTTCCCTTCCCTTCCTTTCAAGTCCTTCAGTCAGTTTTTATAGTACTTTCTAAAATAAAAACATTTATATTTGAAATCGATAAGGTACCTTTCATTTTACTTGGATTAGTATCCTTAATAGAGATGTTTTGATGTGTTTATAGTCAGTTCCTTTATAGTTTTTGTGATTTCAATTTTTAGAAAATTAACTGGTTTTTTTTTAAATTTTTTTTAACATTTATTTATTTTGTGTGTGTGTGTGTGTGTGTGTGTGTGTGTGGCCAGCTCAGCCCACCAGGGGGCGGGGCTGGCTGGCATGTGGTGCTGGGGGATTGAACCGCGGTCCCTCTGCTTTGCCAAGCTTGTTCCAAGTAGGTGCTTTAGACCACTGAGCCATCTCTCCAGCCCCCTTAACTGGTTTTTATACTTTGTTGATATCCTGTTTACAATTTTTTTCCTGCAATAAAAATAATTTATTTCATATCTTTTAAATTTCCTTTGCAATAAAATGCAAGTTGTGTATACAGATACACACACACACACACACACACACACACACACAGCTATCTTACTTTGAAACCCTTTAACAGCTGCTTATTTTATCATTGTTTTACCTATCTACTTGGTGATGTGTTAAGTTCTGATTTATGTCAGGTTGTACTTTAGCATTGTTTTTGTTTCTTTGATCCATCTATGCTCTTGCACCTACACAAATAGATGCAAGAGAAATTTTAGTTACTTTTATTGGAAATTATCACATGTACTAAAAAGTGGTAACATTTTATCTCATGATTTTTTGTACATTTTTAGTTTTTCTATGTCTTACTTTGTGTTGAACGTTTTGTTTTAAAATTCATGCATTTTGCTGCATTCATTAATGAAGAAGTAATAGCTGAACTACATTCCAAGCCATTTTTTATCTTCAGATAACGTTTCACTAAGTTCCCCAGGCTGGGCTCAAACTGAGCCCAAATTTGCCTCCAGAGTACTGGGATTATAGGTATACACTTAGTATTGCTGGCTAAGTTGCCTTATTTTATCACTACTCTATCTGTTTTAGTCTTGTTGAGACTATAACTTGTTTTTATTCTGTCTTCTACTTTTAAAAAGAATGACTGGATTGAATTACTTTAGGGGAACTGGGACTCAAACTCAGGACCTTACACTTACAAGGCTTATTCTTATAGAAAAGTTATAGTGTGGCTTATTGTCATATAATTTAGTATGATTTCAAATAGTCTTCCTTATCAAATTTAGAATATTAATCCACAATAATATTTAGTATTGACGCTGGGGAGACAGCTTAATGAAATAAGTGCTTGCCTGGCAAGGGAAAGTCGTAAGTTCAATTCCTGGTACCACAAAAAAAAAAAAAAATTTAGTATTGACAACAGTTTTCTTATATGACCTGTAGTTTTTATTTCTTTATCCTTTTTAGAAATTCAGTTGTAATTCTCCCATTTTAAGTGTACATTTTTTAAGTGTATTACTTCTAAATAATAAAAATATTTTTACTTTCATACTTTTCAGTCCTAGAATCAAGATGTGAAACCAAGAAATTATTTCTGAAGGAAATTTATGAAATAGAGTCAGCCAAGTGGGAGATAATGGGAAAACTTACAAGACATGACCTGCAATGCTCTGGTTTCAGAGATGATTGGAACTGTCATGACCAGTTTGAAAAACAGCATGGTTCTCGGGAAAGACAGTTCAGTGAACTGATAATCACTCATGATGATGTACCTAGTTTCAGTCAGCATCCATCCTTGACATTACAGCAAATAATTAATAATAAAGAGAAATACTGTGCAACTAATGAATGTAGGAATAACTTTAGACATGACTCACAGTTTAGTGCTCATCAAATCATTCACACTATTGAGAAACCTTATGAATGTAAAGAATGTGGAAAGACCTTTAGACATCCCTCAAGACTTGCACATCACCAGAAGATTCACACTGGCAAGAAACCCTTTGAATGTAAGGAATGTGGAAAAACATTTATTTGTGGTTCAGATCTTACTCATCATCACAGAATTCATACCGGAGAGAAACCTTATGAATGTAAAGAATGTGGAAAGGCCTTTAGCAGTGGTTCAAACTTTACCCGACATCAAAGAATTCACACTGGTGAGAAACCTTATGAATGTAAAGAATGTGGGAAGGCCTTTAGTAGTGGTTCAAATTTTACTCAGCATCAAAGAATTCATACTGGAGAGAAACCCTATGAATGTAAGGAATGTGGGAATGCCTTCAGTCAGAGTTCACAACTTATTAAACATCAAAGAATCCATACAGGAGAGAAACCCTATGAATGTAAGGAATGTGAAAAGGCTTTTCGTTCTGGTTCTGACCTTACTAGACATCAGAGAATTCATACTGGTGAAAAACCCTATGAATGCAAGATATGTGGGAAAGCTTATTCTCAGAGTTCACAGCTTATCAGTCATCATAGAATTCATGCTGGTGAGAAACCTTATGAATACAGAGAATGTGGAAAGAACTTTAATTATGACTCGCAACTTATTCAACATCAAAATCTGTACTGGTGATAAACCAGTATATATAAAATACACAGGAAGGCTTTTAACTATTGCTGAAACCATTCAGTATCAGAGTTTATCATAATCCTTCTAGATATAAGGCTATAGAGACATTTTATTTGTTGGGTACAGTTTATTCAGCTGAAGAAAAATTGTGTTGGAGAAACACTAAGAATTGAATGTTTTAGAAGCCTTTTATTGAAAGTATATATTGATCTTAGGTTTTTTACTATGGCAAATATTGAAAAACCAGTATTTTTCTCCTTCTTACTTTTCTTTTTTTCCACAGTACTGGGGATTGAACCTGTGAGCTTAGGCCTTTTGTGTTGAGCCATATCCCCAGCTCTTTTATTCTTTATTTTGAGATAGCGTCTCACTAAATTCCTCAGGCTAAGCTCGAACTTGTGATCATTCTGCCTCAGCTTCCAAAATGCTGGTATGACAGGCATGTGCCACCAAACTTGGCTCTTTCTGGCCTTAAATATCAATATATTCCATCCAGGAATATAATCTTGTAATTTTCATTTTCTTTTCTCCCTCATTTTTCTATAATTAGATTGTAACATTTTAAACCATCTTAAATTTGTATGACTATAAAATTTATCTCTTCATACTTTATAAGATACTTTTAAGTTACCTTTAAAAATAGAAAAGTGACCTTTTTGTTTTTTAGTGCTAGGGATTGAACCCAAGGCCTTTGCACAGAGCCATACCCACATCCCTTCATTTTTTAAGACAAGGTTTTGCTAGGTCATTAGCAAGCAGGGCTCAAACTGAGGGCAGGGAACCACCTACCTCAGCTTACTGGAATGCTTGGATTACAGCAGGCATGTACCATGTCCAATGTGTGTGTGTGTGTTTTAGAGCCAGGTTCCACTATATAATTCAGGTTGGTCTCAGACTTTGTATGTAGTCTCTAGGCTGGGCTCAAATTTGTAATCTTTTTGCCTCAGCATCCTCATTCCTAGGGTCATAAGTGTGTGCCAACACATCTGACTACCTTTTTATATTTGAAGATAGCTGTTTATTTTGTTCTTTACAAAATTAACGCTTTCTTTTGTTAAAACCTTTATAAACTACTTTCTACTGAGTAAGTAGAGATTCTGTAATATCTTCATGTGTTTCATTTTGATACTATATTTTGTTTTATTTTTGAGACAAGTTTTCACTGTGTAGTCCTGGTTGTCCTTGAATTTGCTGTGTAGTTCAGTCTGGCTTTGAGTACATCATTCTCCTGCTTTGGGTTCTCTGGCACTTAGACTTCAGGTATGCACCACCACATTGAGTTAATATTATTTTGTTAAATCCCTACTGACAGATATTGTAGTTTCTTCCAGATATTTTGCCGTGAGATCTGCCAAAATGCATGTCCCAACTGACATTCTCCCTAGGCTTATCATTATACTGTGTGTTATTTTGATTTCAGAAATAAGGCATATTCCCTATAAAAGATTTAAACTTTACAAGTGAGATAGACATACTCTTTCTCTTCCATTTTGTACCTATTTTCTTCCTCAAAGACTAGTCATTGTCAGTTTATTACCCTTCCTGATGATTCTTCTGTTTGAGACAGGGTCTTGCTGTGTTCCCCAGATTAGTCTTCAACTTGTGGGCTCAGGTGATCCTCCTACTTGGGCCTGCCAAGTAACTTGGGCTACAATATATACCATCATGCCCAGCATATGTTTTTGTAGATATATTTCTCAGAAATTATATAATGGGGGTGATTATAATACCTACCTCATTTTTTTTTTAATGTATTTAGGACAGGGTCTACAGGGTCTCACTACATACATTGGACTCTTAGTGATTCTCCTGTTTTCAGCCTCCCAAGTGCTGGGATTACAGGCGCTCACCACCACGCCCAGTCTCTCAGTTGCCATCTCAGTATGCTCTGGGGGCAAGGCTAGAACAGCATGCCAGGGATTGAACCTCGGCTGCTGTGCTCTGCCGAAGCAGGCGCTTCAGTCCGCTGAGTTATTTGGCCGGCCCTACCTCATGTTTTAAGAGAAATAAGACATAAGGTGCTTAGAATTGTGCCTCCTCTATAATAAATACATTCCATTGTGTTAGTCATTGTTTTTGTATTTATTGTTGCCATCAGTATTATATTTGCCAAGTTTTAGTTTTGTGCAGAAGCAAATACCATCTGGCAGGGTATTTTTTATTTTATTTATTTTATTTTATTGTTTTTGTGGTACCAGAGATCAAACTCAGGACCTTGCACTTGCCAGGCAGGTGCTTATGCCGCTGAATTTTTTTTAGGCAGGGTCTCAATGTCTAGTACGGGCTGGCCTTTAATTCACTTATGTAGCCTATCCTAGACTGGCCTCAGTTCTGCCACAGCCTCCCAAGGGCTGAGATTACAGGTATGTGCCACTGTACCTAATTAGGTAGGATACTTTTAATTAAAAATGACCCTTTGAGGGTAATGGAATTTAGAAAATCTTCCATCATCACTTATTTCCTTATAATCCTGGTATTGATGGGGAAAGTAATATAAATTATGGATGGGAAGGACTTTATTCAGGCTGACTTTTGTGCTATATCATGTTTATACTTTGTAACATACTTTTTAAAGAAAAGCCTATAGGTAATATATTGGTGCTGCTTATGAAGCAAAAGTAAATAGCATTATGTTTAAAAATTGACATCTATAGAGAGAAACTAGTTACAGGTTTAAGAAGGTATTCTGAATACAGTGCTTTCTGATATATTTGGAAACCTAGCTACAATTATTCTTAGGAAAATATAAATTGCTAGTATTGACTCAGAGAATTAGAACTCTTAGAAGATTCTTATAAATGTAGAGAACAGAAAATTATCATGAGATCAATTAGCTGTTATGAGTATTGCAATCAATCTAACTTTTTAGGAAAAAAATGTATTAAGTGTTCAGGGAACTCCTTCAGTTACACAGTAGCCATTATATTCTACCATTCTGGCATAATATTGATATCAGAAATGGATTAGAGTACCCCCAACAAAGCTTTTCAGTATCAGTTATGAAGATAATGAACATGCCCTAAGGAAATTAGCTATTAAAAGAGTGATAGAAATATATGTAGTTGGGACATTACCTACCTAAACAGCATGCCTAGGGCCCTCCCTGTTCAGCTAACTATGACATTATGAGAAAGTACATGGCTGGTTTTACATGCTGTTACTGTGAGAATCCAGAAATCTTTTTCTTCCCCCTTGGTATTAGGGATTGAAGCTAGGGCTTTTGCACTGAGCTACATGCCCAGCCCTTCTTGAATTTTCAGACAGGGTCCTACCAAGTTGCCTAGTCTAGGTTCCAGTTTGTAGTCCTGTCTCAGTCTCTCAGACTGTAGGGATTGCAGATATGTGCCATGCCCCCACACTTTTTAATTCTACTTTTTAATGTATTTGATAACTTCTTATTTTTAATTGGCTATTCACAGTTTTAAAAGACAACATTATAAAGGCCAGCCAGATAGCTCAGCTTATTAAAGCGCCTACTTAGGCAAGTGCAGGGACTGGGGTTTGATCCCCAGAGTGCCATGCTGGCCCTGCCTCCAGGGTGCGCTTAGACTGACTAAGACTGGGTGTGGTGATACACACCTGTAATCCCAGCTCTTGGGAGGCTGAAAAGAGGAGGGTCACTCCAGTCTGATCTATGTAATAAGACTCTGTACTAAATCTATAAACAAAAATTACAGGGCAAAGAAGAGATGTCATTTCTGTAAGTTACAAGTGGTTATCTTTCAGTCAGTTTTCGTTCTAGACACTTGCAAAGGGCATACCCATGTATCACAGAAGGATTTTTTTTCTTTTATTCTGGATGAACTTTTCAGATAGCAAATTCCATGTCCCTAAAGCAATTCAGGGGGGACTAATTTCTTAGATGTGAATGCTTTCAGTTTAAAATTTTTTCTAAAGATAAAGTAGCTAAATTCCAAAACTGCAGGCTATTAGGATTTGGTCCGGTTCAATTTTTTTTTTTTTCCCTCACATGAATTTTTATTTTCTTTTGATTTGTTTGAGACATGTTCTACTCACTATGTAGTTCAAGCTGGCCTTCACCTCACTGGCCCTGAACTTGTGCCATTCTTACTGCCTCAGCCTCCCAAGTGCTAGGACTAAAGATGTGCACCACCAAACCTAGGCAACATGCTGCATTTTTTCTCCTAAGCATCACATCAACTCTTTGAACATATACACATAACAGTGTATAAAAGTGAAAATTTTTGGAGTTAACCTGTCAAAGCCTTCCTATTCCAATTATGCAGTAGAAACAAATATATCACTGTGCTCTTATATACTGTGTTCTACTTAAGGTTCTTTATTTTCAGGAAGGGTCTACAGGGTGTTCAGGGTCTCACTACTAGATTGGACTCATAGTGATCCAACTATTATAGCCTCCCAAGAGCTGGGATTACAAGCGTGTGCCACCCTGGGGGGGGGCCATATACTGTGTTCTAGACCAATGGTCAACAAACTCCATAAAGGGGCAGATCCTAAATACTTTAACCTTTCCCAGCCATACTATTTTTGTAGCAAGAACTCTGCCATTACAGTATAGGTATTTACTAAAGATTTTTTAAATCTTCAAGTTAACACAAAAGACACTAAAGTTTGCCTTTCTGAGTTTTTCCTTTTTCTTTTTTTTTTTTTTTTTTTTGCGGGACCGGGGACTGAACTCCGGGCCTTGCGCTTGCCAGGGAAGTGCTTATTCCACTGAGCCATCTGCCCAGCCCCCTTTCTGAGTTTTAATGTTTTGAAATGGGCCTTTAGTATGCCTCAATTTTCATGCTTAGGAAGTAGCACATATTTTACACAGATACCATTCTGTAGAAGGATAGTACATATACCTGGTTATGGAGATTCATTTTTCCTGTCCTACCACCATTCTCTTCTCTCATAGCCTATGTAAGAGTACTTTGTTGCTGTTGTTGAGGTAGAGCCTCACTATGTAGTTTAGGCCAGCCTTGAATGAACTGTATAGCCCAGTCGCCTTGAACTTTTGGCAATCTTCCTGTCTGAGCCTCCTGA